ACAAAGTGGAAGCTTACAGCTGTGCTCAGTGACACCTCTGCAACTATCTTTACTGAGATCTCTGCTCTAAAATTCCTCAGTCCAGCTTCAGGCTTAAAAGCAAGACTCCTAGAGACTTTATATCTGAGATCAAACTGCTGGATCACGACGAGGCTTACTCCTGTCCGATAAGCACACACCAGGCACAGATCCACCCCATGACTATCAGCTGCGTTTCACCATCACGAATCCATAGGAAATCTGGCGGCCTTACAAACGGTTTATTCCTCACCCTTCCGTTTTTTCGTTTGTTCGGACTCAAATCTATATTTCTCTCGATAGGTACGGATGCTGAACTTAAGCCCCGTCCCATAGAAATACCCAGCTCTTTAGGGCATTTAATTTCACAGACCAAAGGTCACCATCCCTAACGTCCCCACCGGAGAGCAGAGCAGAGCAGGGAAAGTAAAGCACGACTTGATGTTCATTTTATTTGGTCATTCCTGATTCTTCCCTCCCACCCCCCACCCCCCCCAAAAAAAGATATCCGATAAAACGTAGGTATAAAATAGTGTTATTTTACAAATGCGTTTTTTTTAATTTTATTTTTTTTTTAAAAAAAAAATAAAATCAGATGACATTGCGAGTTAATAACAACAACCAAAAAAAAAAAAAAAGAATCAAAGCTTGTTTCCCCCCCCAATGCCAAAAATTGTGGGCTGGGGGGGGAGGAGGGTGAGAGTCACAATCTTCAGAACGTATATTGTTTCTTTACAACGCTACACCCCTCGGTTTACGGCCAAAACGGAAAGCTGATCCGCTTCAAAGAGAAATAATCGCAGAAAAAAAAATTGATCCAAGTCTGGAAACGAAGCAGAATAGGAGCGCCTACATCGGATTTAGCAATATTTCTTTTGGAAAACGACCCTGAAGACCGACTCCGGCTCTAATGAATCTGATCTTTGCAAGGAAGATGTTTTATTTTTATTTTTATTTTTTGGGTACAGCAAACTGCCTCGTTTCTGGAGGTGGTTTATTTTTCCGAGAAGACAATTTGCAGAGCTGGCTGCTGTCCCTGTTCGCTTTCATTGGACTGGGGGTCATTGTGGTTACTTAAAGGCAATATGCCTGGCAGAGCTGAGCTGAGCTGGTCCACCAGTTAGTTCACGAGTTTCGTTTGAGGAACTTCACTTGCATTGAACGGAAATCAAAGATAACAAATGTGGTTGTTTTCCCGTTATGTGCCACAGATGAATCGGGACAGGGTTTAGTTAGTGATATTTTTACAGGTGCGGAAAAATCGAGGCTTTTTTTAAAAAGGATATATATATATATATATATATATATATATATATATATTTTTTACCAAATATAAAGCAAGCGGTTCTGCGTTTCACTCCAGGCTAGGAGCATCTTTTGCAGACAGAGGTCACTACTGTGAACACTGTAAATTCAAAATTTTGTGACTGACAAAGAATTAAAGGGAGACTAAAGAGCTTGAAATAGCTATACTAGTCTCCCTTTAACTCTTTGTCAGCCACAAAATTTTGAATATATATATATATATATATATATATATATATATATATATATATATATATATATATATATATATATATATATATATATATATATATATATATATATATATATATATATATATATATATATATATATATATATATGAGTGCTTTTTTTTGAACACCCTGTCAGCCCAAATATGGGAGAGAGAAGTCTTTCAAATATATATATTCAAACTATATATATAGTTTTTAAACTTAGCCTTTCCATTATTTAGCATGATGCCGAATAAAGCTCAAGAAACGCACGCAGCTAATAGATATAGTTCATTTTATTCAGAGCATCCATTTGCACATAAGATCTATCTTATAGTTCAGGATTTCTGAATGTAGCAGAAAAATACAACTCTCGATTTGTTCAAAATTTTTGGTAAGACTCTTCTCTGGTCTTGCTTATTTTAGTTTCTTTCCTCCTAAGGGGGCTCGAAGCCTCGATACTAATGTATTTATTATATTTAGCAGCCGTGTTTCAGTGGGAGGAAAAAAACCCAAGGTAAATCAAATAAATTATTAATTATAACAATACTTTCTGGTTTGTTTGTTTTCCCCAGGTTTGTTTTATTTGTAAGTTTGCTGGGACGCCCCCTCCCCCCCATCTCCCTAGTGTATAATTTGGTATACAGATGTCTCTGTAAGGGATCTTAAAACTTTTGAAAATTTTTTAAAAAAACAAAACATCAGCATGATTCAACCCAAGAGAAAGCTCAGCAAACATCCATGGAATATTCAGTGACACGTGGCTGTACCCCCCTTTTAACCTCTCTGTGCATTAAAGAAAATATTTACAGACGTTCTTTCTCTTCTGTTGCTTTTGCTCTGCATTTAACACACACACAAACACACACACACACACACGCACGCACACCTACCTAAATGCAAGTAACGTGACATGGATTCCCACGTGTGTATGTGCAGGCGTGCATGCTTGTGTTATGTGTGTGGGTGGAGTTTTTTTTTTTTTTTTTTTACTCAAAGAACAAACAGCCGGATTGTGTGAAATCACACCCATTTACAAAGAAAGCCAAACAAATCATGGAAGACGGAAAAAAAAAAAAGGGGGGGGAGGGAAACATACCTTTGAAACTACTCTAACTTTTTAGGGCTTGGCTTCAAATGCATAGAATGTTTGCTCTGCAAACGACGGTACCCTTTTTTTAAAAAAAAAAAAACAACCCTCAACACGTGTAATAAATTATTAAACCATAAACAAACAAACAAACAAACAAATGCACCTCCAAAGACCTGGTCCTTGAATCCTTCTGTGCCTTTTCAGGGTGTGCATGCATCAGATCAGTCCCCTTTCCTCCACCCCCCCTCCCCATTTTTTCCCCTTCCTTGACTGTCTTTTGCATATTTTTTTTTAAAAAAGCATCATCTCGGAGATTAAAGATTAAAGTAGTGACAGCTGATTTTTTTTTTTTCCTCTCCCTGCTTCTCCTCCGTGGAGCATCGCTCTGATTATTTCTCAAAATCGCACCCACCCGTTTAGAAATTATTACGCGTTTTTTCCTCCTCATCCAGAGGCCACGATTGGTGGCTGCTTTGTGACTTTCCGACTTCCGGAGAGGGGGGAACCTAAAGCGGTGCAAAAACTATGGGTGGCCCTGGACAATTTTTTTTTGCTTTTCTCGCGTTTATGACTGAGCGGGAAATTCTTTTTTTCGTCTTCCTTCCTTCCTTCCTTCCTTCCTATCTTCCTTCCTTCCTTCCTTCCTATCTTCCTCCCTTCCTCCCTTCTTTCTTTCTTTCTTTCTTTCTTTCTTTCTTTCTTTCTTTCCTTCCTTCCTTCCTTCCTTCCTTCCTTCCTTCCTATCTTCCTCCCTTCCTCCCTTCCTTCCTCCTTCTTTCCTTCTTTCCTTCTTTCCTTCTTTCCTTCTTTCCTTCCTTCCTTCCTTCCTTCCTTCTTCCCAAAGTTCTTCAAACAAAACAAAGCAATTTTTTTTCCCTTAATCGATTTGGGATTAACCCGGCCACGTTATTTTAGCTTCCATCCCGGTTTAATTAATGGAAAAACAATCGCCACCTCGCGCAGAGTCAAAGTTAGGTAGTTACCCCATATTAACCCCAGGGACCTCGGAATGTGAAAAACGAGGGTGGATTTCGCAATCCCGCCTAACGAAGGAGACAGCATCCGATTCGCCCCGTTCGTTGCCAACTCGGGAAATCCCCAGAATGGATTTCCCCTTTTTAGGAATTCGAAGTCACTTAAAGACCAAACAAATCCACGGGTGGAAGTCATTTAAAACGGGTGGGGTGGGGTAGGGGGGTCGGGGTGTGGAAGAGAGGGAGGAAAAAAATCGCTAATTCTGAAAGAGCCAGGATCTTTGGATACATTGGCGGGTCCCCAACCAAATCCACGAAAACACTTTCTCTGCTCCTTTCAAGTCTGTTTTTTTCCACCCATTCTCCGGGGAAGAAAAACCCAACAACACCAAAGAATTAGAGCCATCCGTTTCTTCAATCAAAAAGAAAAAAAGAAAAAGAAATTCCTGATGTGACAGCGAAGGGACCCTCAAGCTTGACAACGAAATAATAAGCACGACAATAAAAATGTAAAGAAGGAACCCAAACCAGCAACTAGGATTTCCGCCTCGGGTTGATTTCCCTCCGCCCGCCCGTCGGCAATTTCGTGAACGACAATAATAATAATAATAATAATAATAATAATAATAATAATAATAATAATAATAATAATAATAATAATAATAATAATAATAATAATAATAATAATAATAATCTGCAAAGACCTCGTGGTTTCGTCTACAATACGTGCGTGTATGTGTGTGTGTGTGTGTGTTTGTGCGCGTGTGTTTAGGTGTGTTTCTGCTGCAATTCGCCCACGCTTTCCGAAGAGATCCGACTCAAGAAATGAACTCTGACTTCACCCAACTTTCCCGTCCCGCCGCCGTTCACCCTCCAAACCCCCCCATTTTTTTTTCCCTTTTCCAAATCTGCAAAAAGGCAAAGAAAAAGAGGCGACCGGGGTCCCCCCCCCCACTCGCCATTCTCGCCGCAGCATCTCGCTGGTTCCCCCAGCGATTCACTCCCCCCCCCCCAAAGAGTCTTTAAGTCCAAAGGAGAAGTCCGTTGGCTTCCTAAACTTCAGCTGCTCCCCCTCCGAGCAGCCCTCGCCCCTCGGTCCCCCCCCCTTCCCCGCCCCCAAAGTCTCCGCCTTACCCCTCCCCAGGCTGCCAAGGTCTCGCGGGGGAGGGGGCTGTGCGCGGGTCCTTTCTTGGGGGAGGGGGGTCAAGGTCAGTTTGTGTGGGTGGATTCTGAGAGAGAGCCGGCTCGGGGAAGGGGGGTGTTGTGTGTGTGTGTGTGTCTGTCTGTCTCTGGCTTCCTCTCTCTTGTTCCACTCCAAAGTTTCAGGGTTTTTTTTTCCCCGTCCGCCTCGGGGCATCCACCCAAGCCCCGCGCGCGTCCAGGAAAAGGCCGTCGGGCTCAGTAGGTGGCGGAGAACTTCATGCGTTTCTGCTTCTGTCTCTGGTTGCAAAACCAAACCCTCACCACGTTCTTTTTGAGGTCCAGTTTCTCGGCGATGGCGGCGATCTTCTCCGAGGAGGGCCGCGGCTGGACGGCGAAGTAAGCCTCGAGGGAGCGCTTCTCCGGCGCCGCGATGGAAGTCCGCTTGCGCTTCTTCTCGCCGCCGTTGAACAGCTCGGGCTTGTTCATTTTCTCGCGCTGGGCGCCCTCGGCCTCCTCCAGCCAGGCCTGCAGGATGGGCTTGAGCGCGATCATGTTGTTGTGCGAGAGCGTGAGCGACTCGAAGCGGCAGATGGTGCTCTGGCTCAGCGACCCCACGCCGGGGATCTTGAGGTTGGCCAGGGCCGAGCCCACGTCGGCCTGCGTCACGCCCAGCTTGATCCGCCGCTGCTTGAAGCGCTCCGCGAAGGCCTCCAGCTCGCGGGGGTCCGTGTCCGAGTCGCAGATGGAAGCCAAGCCGGCGGCGCCCGCGGCTGCAGCGGCTGCAGCGGCCGCCGCGGCGGCCTGGCCGGCTGCGCCCCCGTGGTGCGCCACCAAGCCCGGGTGCGGGAGGCCCGAAGGCATGTTCATGGCCGCGGCGGCCGCCGGGTGCGCCAGGTGGCCCAAGCCGTGCATGTGCGAGTGCGGGTGGGCGGACGAGATCAACCCTCCTCCGCCTCCTCCTCCTCCGCCGCCTCCTCCGCCGCCGCCGCCTGCGCCCCCGCCGGCCGCCCCCTCGTGCGCCCCGCCGCCGGTCATGAGCGCCAGCGAAGGCGAGCTGATGTGCTCCAGCAAGTCGCCCGGTTCCAGCGCCTGGTGGTGGTGATGGTGGTGGTGGTGGTGGTGGCCCAAGGGCACCGTGGAGGTGGAGGTGCAGGGCACGCTGTTCATGGTGTGGTAGGTGGCGTCCGGCTTGAAAGGGTGGCTTTTGCCCTGCGAGACGGCGATGTCCACGGCGGCCAGCGCCTCTGCCCGCGCCAGCAACGTCTCGTCCAGGGTGGCGAAGAGATTGCCCTGCAGCTGCAACCGACAAAGAAAAGAAAAGGGGAAAAAAAAAAAAAAAACCGGGGCAGCGAGGGAGGAAAAAAAGGGGGCCACGGTGGGGAAGAGGAGGGCACCCCCCGAGTAGGAAGGAAAGGAGGGAAGGGAGCCGCCGTTACGCGTTAACCAAAAAGACAGGGGAAAGGGGGTCGGTGCGGGACGGCGTGGCCAAGAAATTAAAGGGGAAAGTGGGTTTTCCATGTAGGAGAAAAGAACGGATGGGGGGGGGCGCGGAAAAGAAAGGTGGAAGGGGGGAGAAGGGGTGCAGGAGAGGAAGGGATGGAGCGGAGAGGCACCGCCGGGGGAGATGAGATGAGCGGCAGAAAATTATACCGCCGCGGGAAAATGAATGGGAAAGGGTCCAGCGGAGAGCGCGCGGATGCAGGGAAGAGAGAAAAGAGCGGGGCGTAGGGTTGGGGGGACCATGGGGGCCGGAGGCGGCGGGCAAAGGAGCGGCGGGATGGAGAGAACGGAAAGTGGGACCGGGGGGGGCAGAAAAGGGAGACACAGAGAGAGAGAGAAACGGGTAAGTTGGTTAAGCCAGAGAAGAGCCAAGAAGTTTTTTGTTTTTCACCGCGGGGGGGGGGGGCAAATCGAGGAAGCCCGCCTTGAGCCGAGCGAGCCAGGAAGGGCGAGCAAAGAAAGGGCGAAAGCGACAGTGCCCATGGGAGACCGCCTGCGCCGCTTTCGGTTCGGTTGGCTCCAGCCTCGGCCTTCCTTGCCCGGTGAATTTCGAAGGAGAACCGGGAAAAGCAGAGGGAAATTCAGGGAGCAAGAAAGCACCCCCCCCCGGGGGGGGGATCCCTTTTTCCACCTAAACCTCCAGCAGAAGGGCGGAGGCGGTGGCTGAAAGCCACGAGGCAACCGCTGCGGCTGAAGCCCGGAGAGGCACCCACTGTGCGCCAGGGGCCGGGACCGACCGAGGACGCCGGGCGCGGGGGGGAGACGAGAGAATAGGAACCGGGCAGCCCCCCCCGGGTGTGTGTGTGTGTGTGTGTGTGTGTGTGTGTGGTGGGGTGGGGGGTGGCAGAAGCCCGGCTGGTAGCGCGCGCGTCTTACCGGCGGAGTTGGGAGGCATGCTCTCCGGATGGCTTCCGAGCTGGAGTGCAGCGAAGGGTACTTGTGCTCCGGCAGTGTCGGGTGCATGGCGAAGTGGGGCTGCTTGCTGTTCATGGACATCATCGTGGCGGCTCGGCGGGTGGAGAGCGCGAGGGAAACGGCGACCAGGAGGAGATCCACGCCGAGCGCCACCAAGGCGCCGGGCGAAAGGGCTGTCTGCGCGCCGAGCACAGCCAGGCTGCCGCCCCCGCCGCCGCGGCAGCAGCAGCAGCACATCCGAGGCTACTGGGGCTGGCAGCTCCCCGGGAGCGCGCAGGGCGAGCCTTCCTGCAAGCCGGGCCGCTCGACTCTTCTGCCTGCTCTACCCCCGGGCTGGCAGGAGATGCGCTCTGCTTCCACCTGAGCCCACATCCCGGGGCTCCCGACCGACCGGTTCTCCCTCTCGCGAGAAGTTGCGCCTCCAGTTTTGATGGACTGGCCTGGTCTCTCCCCCCCCCNTTCCAGCGCTCTGCCTCCCTTGCCCCCTCCCTCCTCCTCCTCCTCCTCCTCCTCCTTCCAGCGCTCTGCCTCCCTTGCCCCCTCCCTCCTCCTCCTCCTCCTCCTCCTCCTTCCAGCGCTCTGCCTCCCTTGCCCCCTCCCTCCTCCTCCTCCTCCTCCTCCCCGCCCCCTGAGTTGCAGAGCCGAGCTCACGTCGAAGCAGGAGTCTGCAGAGAGGACAAAAGGCCAAGGCAACTGATGTCGACCTGGGGGTTCCCAAGCGAGGCCCCCCCCCCTGGCACGCTGGCACACAGGGGGGAACCCGGCGGCTCGGTGCCCCGCGCGGCGGGTCTGGCGCGCAGGACACCCGGGCAAGCGCCAGCCGAGTCCGGGTGAACAAGCGGCGGAGGCGAGATGGGTCAGTGTTGGTACATTTTACTTACGGTTTACTTTCGGCGTCGAACTACTGCAGCCGCCCAGCCCAAACCGGCAGTTTTGCCTTGCCTTCAAACGCCTCTGGATGCCGGGTGACTTCCGCGTGTGGTTGTGGTGTTAAATACTTGCCATCTTGGCTCGCGCGTGGCTTTCAGCAAGGGCAGCTCTGCTCAGTATTGTAAAGAGTTGTTGGCAAAGCGCTTCGTACGGTTTCAGCAACTATGGCTGGAGCCGGGTCACCCGGCTGCCCGCCCAGTGTGTGTGTGTGTGTGTGTGTGTGTGTATCCGTCGCTGTCCGCTCTCATCAGTGCTGAAAAAAGTCAACCTGCGTTTATGCCGCTGCCTTCAACGCAACTCTCGTCAGCTTCTTAGTAAATGGGATTTACTAGCTTTCCAACAATGTTTTAGACTGGATGCTCGGAACAAAATGCTCTAGTCACTTCCCAGAGAAGTTGGTTAGCTTTTCTTTTTTTTTTTGGCTCCTCGTGAAAGGTATTGGGAGGGGGATCAAGTTCAACCCATAGATCTGTATGTAGAGGGGACTTGAGAGTCACCAATTATTGTCTTGCTTTTGCTTGAAAAGGTCCCACCAACTACTGCCCCCCTTATGGGTCACATTGTCTTTCTTGGGAGCCCGATTCTGCCTTCGATGGCACCTTTGCACCCTTCGACACTCAAGAGCTTTGCCTTCGCCCAAACTCATGCGCTGCTGTCCTTTCTTCTTTAGAAAACATCTCCATTTGTCCACTACCCTTTACAGCAACCCAGGATGCTGATGGAATCAGTTATTTCTTGGGGAGCGATTCACTTAGATAATCTTGAATGAGTGGATGGGATTCAAAGGGGGGAAAATAAGGAAGTGAGTATTGAGCTTCAGACAAGCCCATTAGCTTCCTAATGATAAGCCACATTTCGATGAAGGTCCACAGTTTTCCTATCTTCCTCCCCCACCCCCCACCCCACCCGCAAGAGCCTGAAAAACAATATCCCAGCTTTTTGAGTAAACCCTATGATCTGAATTTAGCTTGGTTCAAAGGAAGCAAAGGCCGGTGGTTTATGGTAATCTATCTGTTAAGTAGATGGAAGGATAACAAAGAAAAGGTCACGGATCTAACTTGAAGGAGATCGTGTTTTTCTGAAACAAACGTAACAGGAGCATGCTTATTTTGGGGGGGAAAAAAATCTCATTTGAAGTAACAAGATAATAAGCCTCCAAACATATTTGCTTAGGGCTGATGTCAAAACGTTCCCATTATTTCCACCAAACAATATTTCTGCCATTATTTGTATAAACTATTCATTGATTCAAAGGACCATTTTTCAGAGGAAGGACACTGCCTTCTTGATCTCCTCAGAAAACAAATTTATTTCCATTTTATGAAAGAAGAAAAAAGTAAGTGCAACTGGGGTTCTTTGGTTATTCCTGTAGAGGGGTCCTTCACGTGTGTGCTGAGGGCTCTTACAACCGAACTCCTATTAAAACAAGGTATGGGATTTGAATGTTCATTTCTTCATTCCTATATATGAGCAGCCTCCATCTCCATAACCAGAGAATGAGTTCCAGAAGTCACATCTCTGATTCCCTTTAAAACACACACACAGACAGACAGACACACACACACAGAGCTGTAGGCAATAGTAGCCACTAGAAATATACAACTAAAGTAAAATAATAATAGGAGAGAGAAAAATAAGTGAGGACATTGGACAAGGGATTGATGTTCCCCTTAAATGTTGGGGACCATTGTTTTTGATACCCCCAAGGTTTGTATGCACATTCATGGCATGAACGCCCACATTTCCTATCATTTACCTTCTACCTATTTTTTTCCCATACGCCAAGTGGCTATGGCACTCATTAATTTCCATCTTTAGATCTGAATGTGTTCCGTGGGGTTCCTGAACTCAGATTTATCTCAGTGAAGGATATTCCAGGAACCCAAATATTTTCCTCTGTCAGGAATGAGCTTGGGGAAAGATTAGCGTTATTTATCTTTTTAATTCTAGGTTATTGTTAGGGATGAAAGACGCACAGTAACACCTGTCTTGCAAACTCGTGTCTTCGGATCCTTGCCTCTTTGCAAACCTGCTTGGCCTCTCACCAGTTGTGAGAACCGAGTGCTGTCAAACACCAGTCACCAATAGTGTTGTGAGCATGTGGCTGCTTAGCAAGGATCTTTAGTGAGAACAGGGAAGTGGAAAGTTTCATCATTGAAAAATGGCCTGTTCTGAAGGTCTCCATTCTCCTCAGATGGCCCAATGGTGGAAGCCAGCAAGGCATTTTCAGGGTGGTGGAAGACCACTACACAGTCAGGTACAATCCCGGGACTGCATTTTCACTTCAGAGCTGACAATGCTCGTTCAAACTGTCCCATTATACTGAGGCAACTACTGGTAGATATTTATTTTTTTACGGTGGACTTAATGCCCTTCAGAGTAAGCTTTTACAGTTTCTTGATTCATAAACTACTAATAGTATATATATATATATACAAGTTGCATCCCTCTAGAGTCTAGAGTCACTTGAAAGGTAGCCCCATTACAATAACTGCCATGAGTTTGCTACCAACTGAGAACTCTCTAAAGCCACTGGCTTCAGCGGTAGATAAAGTATAGCTAGAAAACTTAAGGTAGACTGCATTTTCAAAAAGCTAAGTGCAGGAACTTTCTGGCAGGAAAAATACGTTGCATAAGATGTAATGACAGGCAGTTGGATGAAGGAGCTTCATAGAATTTGAAGTAAGTGAGAGAGGGAAGGGAAGGGAGATGAAGGGAATGAAGAGAAAGGGAAAGGTAAGCAAACAAATGGGACAGAACAACCTTTAACAAAAATATCAATATAAACCATATATTTGTGACAGCCAGGTAAATTTGTTTCTTCTTCTCTCTCTGGTTCATTTCTTAAATTTATTTTCTTTTTCTAACTTCAGATTTAAGTTTAAAGCTTTTCATCTGGCTTGTTTCATTGTATTGCAACATTACATTAACATTTTTAAATGTTATTCTGCTGGGCACAATCACCCACCCCCAAATCATTTGCCTCTGGGATAGGAATTATGGGGATTGTGTTCTAACATATTGGGGGGAGCATAGATTTGGAGAGGACAAGGCTGGACTGTACTGTACTGGAAACTGGGATTGTTCTATGGAATTATTTCAAAGGTGCTTTGCAAAAACTGTGACTAGCTTAAAGATGATTCCACGTGGCCAGAGAGCAGATGCAACTTAGTGCTTAGGAGGCTGAAGGAGCGATCAGTCCCAGCAATTCTTACGGAGTTTTGTGTTTACCAGGAAACTGATTCTTCCTTTTCAGTCTTCAGCATCCAAACGTAGAGTATACTGTGGAGTGATTTAAAGGAATTGTTCTGATATTATGGCGGGGAAGATGTGCCTAAAGTGCTCTGAGCCTTTGTTAAATGTGAAGATCATGATAATTGAATCAGTTAAGGGTGAGGGTTTCAAAAGATTCTGAGTGACCAGATGTTGTGCTTTTTCAGGAACTCCTATTGCTGGACAGCTCCCCAGTGACCATCGAAGCTACTACTTACAGAAACCGTTTGCTTTTAAATGAAAGCCTTACAACTGATGAAGTATAAAGGACTAATTTCTATTATAGCGCAAATCCAGGTATCTTTTCCATGTACGTGGGGTCTCTTTGCTGTTTTTTTTCTTTATCTGTCTGAATAGAAAACAGTTGGGAATAACACGCAAATGAACATTTAGGAATAAGGAGACCACCGTGCAGGGAGAGGGGATGTGATATGTGGCTTTTCTTTATAGAGTAAAATCTTTCTTTCACTCAATAATTCCACGATCAATTTTGTTTCCTTTCCTTTCTATCTCTTCTTAGCTTTCAGTGGATGAAAAGGTTTCTAACCACAAGCACACACAAGTACATAATTAAAAAGATTATTTTTTGCCCTAATTATTTGGATCTCTCTCTTGTCAGCTGGTGTGAAAAGACAAAAGAAGAGGATTGCAAAGATTCCATCAGATTCGCAAGTTGAGTGCCTTGAGTAATCCAGAACAATTTACCACCATTGGGTTCCATATTCAGATATCTTAGCAACCCACCACCTTCGTGGGCACTTTAATCATGAGGCAGCAATTCAGTGGCAGGGGTATGGATGATTCCCTGTCCATGAAAGGAAAGGCTGATGTTTCTTCATCTGAAGATGCAGGGTGGTGGATGGTGGAGGTGATTCCCATCT